AATGAAAAAACTGTTTCAGGGGAAAGATCATAGCACTACACATGAGCAGCGCTGTCTGTCTCACTGCCAGCTCACAGATTAGCTTCTCTGATTGTTTGAAAGTTCAGTTTTTTCAATTCCAGCATCTGCTGCTTGTGAAGTGCATCATGTGTCTCAGAAGCTCGTGAGTTCTGGTTTGATTGCTCCTATAGGTCAAGATGAACTGCCCTGGCTGTTCGAGACAACTGGAGGACCTTTTGATGTACCTTGATGTGCTGCTTGTGCTGCTCAAATCACATTTAGACAGAACGAAAGGTTTAGCCTCACTGGAAGTAACATATTTCGGCATGGCTCTACGTTCTCTCTGCTTACCTCAATAGACCCAGGTTCAAACCTCAACTGGGATTTCTCAAATAACCTTTCCCTGTCAGGTTTCAGTGGTGGTTTGAGGACCCAAATGCAGAGGCAGAGGATATTTCTTGCAGTTTAATTAAATAAACAGAGGTAACAGAGGCGGGAATCCAAAAATCCAAAATCAAACATGAGAAATATAAAGCAAACCAGAACTATGGAGACATCTGGGGAAAACCAAACACGAGGAGCCGGGAAGAGATGAGGAACGTAGACCACAGCATGGGAAGTCAGCTAAGACAAGGAACCAACAAAGAGTGAGAGCAGAGGGAGAGCATATATAGCATATAGAGACAAAGGGAGGGCTAACGAGCAGACAAGGAGCAGGTGTGAGAGGAGACAACGAGGGAGCCAAGGGGAAGGGAACATACACACACAAGAGGGCAATAGAGGACAACAGAAAAACATGAGAACTAATATGAATCTAGAAATTACAACAAAACTGGAATTAAACCAATAAAACTAGAGAACAAGGAGCAAAGTAAAGAACAGAACCAAGACCATGACATTCCCACTGGCCAAAAATCCATTTTAACCCAGGAACAATCACCTTCTAGTGGGACCAGCTCACTTAGAGGTTGTTTCTGTTTTTTGGGGGAGATGCTATTCTAATGGATCTGATTGGCTGGATATTCAGCTCCTATTAGTTGGAAGCCAGCAAATGACTAGGTGTTTGAGAATCATTTTCTATGGTAAGTTGATGATATTACTAAATATATTATGTTCTAAGGTAAGTTGATGATATTACTAAATATTTTGCCATTGTGAAATTAAAGCTGACTGCCCCATAACAAAATAGTCAGCATTTATATCTGATTTGTCATTGTTCTGGTTCTGTTCAAGTTTTATCTCTGAGTTTTCATTGGTTTTATTTCAACGTTTGT